TGTGTCCTAGTAAACATTTATTGTTTTACACTTCTTATTCCTGAGAAGTTTTCTGTGATTGTTTTAATGATCACCTGTTGTCCTTGAGCACATAGAGGAGTAAAACTTTAGTTCTATGGAGAATAAGCTGATTGTATGGATTCCAAGACTAATGATGTAATCATGTACAAACATATAAATAAAGTAGAACAAAGACATCAGGAGTCACTCTCACAGAAGATGCAGGGCCTCCATCTGGCCCCCATTTCTTTTAAATAAAAAAGAAAACTATTAATCCTCTTGTGTCGCTTCATTTTGTGACCTGTTCAGTTTTGCCAGACGTGGCGATGGGGAAAAGTAAGAGATATTACCTGGACCAATAATGAAGAACATGGTTTTCCTAAACCTCTTTTCTGAGGTCCAAAAACAATTGAAAAAATGTTTCTTCATTTGTATAGAAAATCTGTTTTGGAAATTTGTTCCATAGAAGTAGTGCAAGTTACTAAAATATATAAATGGAAATCTTCATGACAGCATTTTTTCAATATAATGAAATACTGGAAACAAATTAACTACAGTCCTTGATGTCCACAGGGGACAGGTTCCAGGATACTAAAAATTTGCTGATGCTTAAGTGCCTTGTATAAAATTGTGTTGAGTTTGCATATAGTCTACATACATCCTCTTATACACTTTAAATCACCTTAGTTGTTATTAGCTGCCATCCAGTAGGTTTCAACTCATAGCAACACTAAGCAGCAGAACACTGCTCAGTCCTGCACCATCCTCAGAACGGTTGCCATGGGGGAGCCCATCCTGGCAGCCATTGGGTCAATCTATCTCATTCAGGGTCTTCCCCTTTTTCTCTTGCCCTCTAGAGGTAACTACTTACAATACCTACATAACACAATGTAAGGAGCTCTGGTGACACAATGGATAAGGCATTTGGCTGCTAAACAGAGAGCCAGTGGTTTAAACCCACCAGCCTCTCCATGGAAAAAATGGTGAAAGTCATACGCCTGATTTATATTTCATCCCTCTTCTATATCCCAGAGTCCAAATGACTTTCTGTTCTAGAGGGAAATTTGAGCACTTTGAGAAAAATATCTTGAAGAGTATGGCTACTGCATTAATAAAGATGCCAGAGGATACAAATTGGGAAATTCATTAGTGAGGTCATGTAGGAAACCAACCTTGGGGATTTTTAAAAATAACTGGAAGCCAAATTTATTCAATCCAGTCATTAGAGCCTTGCATTGTAACTTTTGCCATAAATAGAGTCCAGTTTCCTAGGTGAAAACTTTGTGCATCAAGACACTAATTACATATGGATAATAATGGAAAGAAAGCTAAAGTTTCTAAAGCCAGGAAGCATTTTGAAAATGTACAGATATTTAAAGGACGTCTATATGGTTTGGAAGCATCATTGCTGAACTATGCATCACTTTGATTTTGGTAGCTTTATGGCTACTAAGGGCAATAGCGGGAGCTCTGGTAGCATAGTGCCTAAGGCATTTGACTGCTAACCAGAAGGCTGGCAGTTCAAATCCATCAGCTACATCTCAAAAGGAAGGTTGGGCAATCTACTTCCGTAGTGATACTGCCTCTGAAACCCATGGGGCCATCATTATGAGTTGGGCCCAACTTGACAGCACATAACAACAACAACAACAAGGGCAATAGCTATGTCCTGAGAAGTCTGGAATATTATAAAGTTTTTGAAGAAAAGAAATGGATGCTGAGAACTGTTAACTTGTGGCTATGATATCAGGTAGCTGATGTAAAGCTCCTATTTATTTTCATTTTATAAGTGTTTCTTCACATAAAGGAAATTATTTATTAGTAAATGCTAGTGTTATTTCATGAAAAATGAGTAAAAACCATTCTGCATGAATAAAATCACAATTTGTAGCACTTTGTTCTCAGTGATTTTTAAAATTTTCATATTATTATTTGTAAATATAAAATTAAAATTACCCACAGATATCTCCTTAGATTGTGGAAGAATATTTGCTTAACTTTAGAAATAAAAAAATTAGTATATTAATTTATAAGAAAAAAGTTTATTTTCATTTACCTCAAATAGACACACGCCCTGGAGAGAACAATCATGGGAGAAGGAAGGGCTGCTTATGCACAGGGAGATAGCTCAAGGTGCAGAAGAGTATGAAGGGACGGACACTGGGAGGAGGTAACTATGGGGAGGAAGTGGGAGGGGAGCTGCTGCATTGTAAATTTTGGTCAATGACATGAGACAAAGTATATGTGAACTGCTG